GCTACCTATAGAAAAAAGTTGATTCATAGTTATGTTCTTTTTTTTGGTATTTAATATAATAAGCTTACCTTTGAAAATGCATGTCCAAAAGCAATAAAATGTAAATTGTCTGTTTTGATTAAATTCACTATATGATGGCAATCGTTAATTTTTGATCTTTCAACAATAGAAGTACTAATACCACATTTACGTAAACGTTCAGCTAGTTTCTCTAATGTGTATGGTACCAAAAATTTGAAATGCTTAACACAAGAAACATGAGTATGAGGTGACTTGGATTTTATATTAGTAGTCGGCACTTTCTAAAATCAAAAATAGATAAATTTATGACACAATGTTATATGTTTTATACTTTTRTTAATAAGTTAAATTAATTTACTATTTTCATTACATACATATTTATGTTTTTTATGTTTTGGTTTAGGTTTCAACATATCTGGATGTTCATTATTTGATATTTTGTGACACACTTCATCAAATGGAATATTGTTGGCTTCACATTTTGTTTTGAATAAATTGTAAATTTCTAATAAACAATAAGCGTCCAGAGCTGAAAATTAAATAAATTMAATTCAAATATTATTCTTTTTTAACTAATATGACAATTTTTTTTAATATTGTTGATTAATAGCAATACTTAAGACATTAACAGGTTAAGTCACAAAATTTGAAAAAAAAATATTGTTTACCATTATAATTTTTTAGTATAGCGGTTCCCAAACTGTGCATCGCAAGCACATTCTAAGTGCACCGCGGTCTATAGCCCTATGGCTCATAATAAATAATATAAAATGTATAGAATTTATTTGTTCAGTCTTTTATGGTGTTCATAGCAGGGTATTATAGCTATATATGGTCCAAAAAAAAGGACACTGCAGAAAAAAATAAGTTTGGGAACCACTATTCTAATGTATACTTTTTGTCTTTTACATTTTTAATTTAATGTTAATTATTTAATATTGTTATTTTTTTTTATGTATAAAACATAATTTCTAACTTTTAGTATTACTTATAAATATTTAAAATCATATGTGGGGAATTTGAGTCAAATATGCAATTACATTCACATGAATTTCAAATTTGTTTTGTAAATAGTTGCTTTACTAGGTTAAAAAAAAAATTAAACAATTTATCTTGAAATATATTTATTTTTTTATGAATCTTTAGGTAGGTTAAAAAAAATGATAAATATAGTATAAAAACAAAAAATCTAATATAAATTTGTTATAGTTTCAAGTTAAGTGCTTAATAAAATAAAAACAATGAGTATTTTACATTTAATAAATCTCTCAGTATAGTTACCAGCATATTTAATTTGATCTGAACGTAATGGTATTTTTTCCCAATTYGAAAACTGCTCAGTCTTATTTAATGGCCTTCCAAAACATAATTTTACTAAATCGGAAAGACTATTATAAGTTATGTCTTCATTTGGACCTAAAACATTAATTAAATTAACCATAAACTAATATTTTTTAACCAAATATAAATATATTGACTAGGATGTCAGCCCACTATTGTTCTCTATCTGACAAATGCAGAATATTATAACAAATTAGAATGCAGGAGAACCAACCATGTGATGTAAACTCCAGTATTAAAGTGAATTGATTTATTTTCAAACTTAAAGTTCCTTAATATTATACGTATTTATATATTGAATATGAGCATTTTTTAATTTAAATAATATTTGACATACACAAAACTTGCATATACATTAAAACAGCATGAAATGGTTGATGTAAAACCACAAATAATTTTCAAAATTTGAAGTTTGAGTATAAATAAATACATTATAAGTACTTTAATTAATTATAATAGTTAAGTTAGCAGCACAAGGTTGATTTTCTAAAAACAAATTTGTTATGTAGAGGGTAGGCCAGAGAAAAAATAAAGAGTGTGTTAACATCCTGTTGAGGATAAATATAAAATTGCAGCATTTATAATGAATTTATATGTACTTTGAAACGGAAGTTGAAAATTCCATTTGGTTTCTAGTTCTTTCCATAACAACTTAATATCAACAAAACCAGGCCCGTGGAGTTGTATATTATCAATTGGTAACGAAGATCTAATCATTGATGCATCTCCTTTCCATTCAAAACCTGATAAAAATAATAATAAATAATGAATAATTAAAAATTACACAACTAACAACAATTTTAACATATTAAGTCATACAACAAAAGATAAAAATAAAAAATTTAAAAATCTATAGGTATTTCATCTCGACTTAACAATAATAAACTATAAAAATATTAAAACGAATATTGATTAATATTTGATGCGTACTTGCCTAATTTCAATATATTTATATTGCTGAATATGTTCATTGAAAATTCTTGCCAATGAAGCTTAAAATTTTCAGCTGGTTGCAGTTGGGGTAAATGAAATATGTAAATTGAATCAATAGTAGCTAGCTGAATGGATGCTAAATCACTTTTATCACTTGTTAGTTCTGGTTTCCATTCACAGTCCAAACCGAAAACATCCAAATGTGCATCAAATAACTCAATGTTAATTTTATCTAAAAATTCATTAAACTTTGATGCACAATCAATTATATGAATTTGTTTATCAGGCAATGATAAGTCATGATATTCTATAGTATTGTATTCTTCAGTTGGTATTGATATATTGATACCAGCACTCCTATCAATCAATAATGTATAAATTAATTAATTAATTGTACATTATACATTCTTATGTTTTAACTAACGCGTTTTCACAGTAAAGTAACTCTTGTTGTATGGATGGTGGCAATAATGATGGGTCAATGGCAAATAATTGGGCAAAATAAATACACTCTTGAATATCTCCAAAATTTTCTAACATCTTGACAACTTCCAACATCATTGTTTCATCATCGCCAATTGATTCTAACGCCATTTCTCTCCAAGCATGGATTCCTTTAACATAAAAGTTATGATAATATACTTTAGACATAAACCTTAATCAATAATTTACCAGTAGCGCCAGATTGATAACGACGGAACAAGTATACTAAAGCTCCCTTCTTCTTTTGTCTAGTAATGTTAGGAGCCAACTCGTTTGGAATGTTATATTTTTTCATTATTCGTGATAGATTTGTTTTGATTTGATTTTTATTAGAAAAATTATTATTTGATTGTGTAACATTTAGACGCCTGAAATAATATTTTCCAATTACTGAGAATTTTTGGCAAAAGATTATTGAAATATAAATATAGAAAAATAATTAAAATCCTTACTTAGCTAAGAAGTATAAGCAATCATCATTCTCTACTAATAGATCATCAAGATATTTTACCAAAGCTGTTTGTTGAAATTGAGTAGTCATTAAAAATTCTTCTGTTACACACACCAAATTCATAAAAAACAAYGGAAGTAAAAAATCTTCTACGCTAAATCTATCTTGTATATTCAAACTCATACTAGCATAACAGGCCTATAAATTAAATTAGAAATGTTAAATACTGCTGACACACTCAAGTAATATTTTAATTGTAAAATATTTGTAATTTGCCTCTTTAAATCTTTTTTGTTTAATCGATTCCCTAATTAATTCTTCCATACAATCTAAACGTGTATTACACTTGAAAATTTTAACAATGGTGTTAATCGTGTTTAAGTTTATTTTTTTTTCAAGTATCATTTTAAATGCTTGAATTTTCAATTCGTCAGTTAAAACATGTTCATATTCACTTTCGTTACATTTTATCCATTTGTAAAATTCTTCTGTTACTGTAATTAATAAAATTGTTTTAATATAATAGACTTGGTAATTAAAAAACAATGTTGAATTAACTTACTAGTATGAGCCATTGAGCTAGCTTTACCCTTGAGTCTGTCTTCTGATATGACATTTATCAATTGCAATAAGGAGTTGTACGGATCAGGACTGGATTTAAAAAAACTTCTCAATGTATCAGTTAAAACTTTACTTTGTTTCCCTGCAAACAAATAGAAATTAATTAAACTCATACAATAATGTAAACTAAAATAAAATTGTTTAAGTATACAATTAATATTATTTAAMATTAATGACAATAATAAATGAGTCAATGACAGAATTATGTTAAGCACACTCACAAGTAGCCCAAATACTCTGAATATGCCTGGCAATGCGTTCAACCTCCGGCTCAAATCTCTGCACTGGTTCAAAATGTGTGACTGGTGAAACATAAGTGTTTGATGTTGTTGAAGTGCTACCAAAATCGTAATTAGAGAAGCGTATCTGAGTATCACTGTTCATCTTCMTTATGGATTSGTTTGAAGATGGCCCAGCAGGCCTGAAATTGGTGAAGTTAGAAGCTGGTGCATTGCAACTGTTTTCGTTCCAACGCCCAGCCATGATCAGTCTTCGTGATGTAGTAGGTACCAACGCACTAATGTCAAGATAACAGAATCAGCAAAACAATTGACGACGAGATGAGAACTATAGCTAATAACTGCAACTAAATCACTGTTAGTTATAAACAAAAAGTTTAACGATATTCAAACAGAAAGATAATATTATTGCCACAWAAGAATGTTCTCAACGAACGGACTAATTCAGCACCTTCAAAGGCGACAGAACTTGTGGCTGGTACTCACCAAAACCAAACTGTCAACCACAAAGACCTGAGTGTTGATATTATCGCGTCAGAGGCGACTCAACGACTGCTGTCATAGAATCACAATTCATAGAATAGATTTTGAATTTCAAAAATCAAAATATTGAGTAAATGAAATCTTACTCTGTTATACAATAAATTATAATAAACAGAATTAACTATTATTATTGTTGTTATATTTTATTATCTAAGGGTGATTACCACACAACTACACAAGGTTTTTATCACAGACCAGACATCATTGTTAATTTATGTGATATGGACCACGGACTAAGATTAACTATGTGTGTATTTTTTTTTATACTTTTATAGACAGTCCGCGACCGGAAACGACAAGATGGGAGGGTGATAACTGGGTGGGGGCTGCAAAAAGTTCCCCCGATATCACTAACAACTAACAAGGTCCGTTGAATATTTTCAGCGCTACCTGTAGTTTATTTTGGACTTTCGTCCATTTTCCA